TTACCAATCACTTTGAGGTACCCAGCCAATGGAATGGAAAAGCTTCATGTTTGTCATGCAGGACGCGCTGCAGCACAAACCCGATGTAACCTCGAAAAAAATCGCATCATATCCCCGGAGTGCATGATGATGAGTGGGGCGAAGCATCCGTCAGTCCGTATAATCACAAGGTGGTTTTGGGACGTTAAACCCCACATATCAATCAAATCAATCCGTCATTCCACCCACGCTTCCGTGCGTCTGTCTGTGCGACCGTTCGTGCGTCCATCTATGCGTCCGTTCGTGCGTCCATCCATCCGTCCGTCCCTGCGTTCGTTCATCCGTCCGTGCGGCAGTCCATGCATCCAGCCGTCCTTATAGTGAACACTCCAAGTACCGCCATTTCACATTTTTTCATCATATGTTCATCGTATACATAGTGTTCATGTGATGTCACTTCCGTCGTCGTCGCCCTCTCCCGCCATATCTGGGTACCTCCCAGGGTACCTACGGCAGTTCGCGTGCTGCAGCGCGGTTTGTGGGGGGCTCGTCATCTGTTACTGCGTACGTTGTTAAAAGGGAAGCATTGAGTTTTTTTGTTGCTGTTGTTGTCGTACTTTAACGAGCTCATCGGATCAGGAAGGCCTCGTTTCTTCACTCGATTCAAGACTAGAAAATCAAGATGTGCGACTCGTATACCAGCCACCGCGTACACCGGCTGCCCGCCACTGACTTACGAGGGCCCATTATCTCACTTTCACTACTAACACCACAGATTGCGTAGCCCAAGAACAAGTGAAAGCTCAAAGTCTCTCGATATGCAATTTTAAGAGTGGATGGGCGCAGCGCAGCATCTCCCATCGAAAACGAGTCGTGTAGAGCTAGGCAAGTTTACAAAAGATATAATATTAATAATAATAATATATTGCTGAGGTCCACGCCACCAACGTAGCAGCGTCCCCTCCCCCCTCAAGTGTTTTAAACAGTGCTGATGTTGAGCCTATTTGATTGAACTTTGTGGAAACAGCCGAGGAATATATTATGCGAGGCGGATAGAGACTTCGCGTGGTGCGTGCCGCGGTAATGCCGGTCATCACTTTTTTTTTTTGCGTATGTCTTGACACCTTTTTCACCTTGTATTTTACATTTTTTTCGTACGCTAATGTACAGTGGAGTCCCATAAAACGATGGAGACCGTGTTAGGGTATTAATTGACCAATTTTTCAAAATTCTAACCCCTAAACTCGAACCGACCGGGTATACTTCAGAGCGAACTAATATTGTTTCGCATCCATTTTCACAGTTTGTTTCAATGCAATACCCGAATTTCCGCGATCGCCATCACGATTTTAACCGCCTCCCTGACACACTGATTGTGCACGCAGTGGTCGCAGACAAGTATGTATGTACACTATCTTGGTAAGCTATCTCTCTTTGCAGGTAAGTGCTTGGCTATAGCACTAACCCGTAATAAAGTTACACCTGAAGACGCAAATATCACCGAGTTTCTTCAAGCAGTTTTTTTTTTAATCCGCGCCAGCCAAACACGCCGGTACTTTTCGGAAAATCGCAATGTGCGTTTTCAGTTTTAGGTAATAACTTTCGGCGAAGAAACACCCCGAAGCTCTGCTCCCTCTTCGGGGACTACTAAATCAACTTGCCTCACTAGCAGCCCTCAAACTTGCATCGTGAGGCAGAACTAAACGGGCGCAAGCACGAGGAGACAACACGGCAGCGGTAGGCGACGTAGTCGGTAGGTACCCGGGCATGTCGGTGGCGCATTTCGGAAGTGACGAAGGGGCGCTGCGTGACGCACGTGCACACTAGGTATAGAAGTACCGCCATCCAGCGGACATTCCACAGACTAAACGAAAGGTGGCACGGCTGCGAGTTTACAAAGGCGAGCGGGTATCCCCCCCCCCCCCCCCCCCTCCTATGCATTGCGCCAAGCGCCCTTACAAGGCTCTCGGAAGCTGCGTGCTCATTGGTTCTTGCGTGATGTCGTCAGCAAACATGGCTGCGCCCATGACGATGCTGCAGGTGCCTTCCAGGCAAGACTAAATAAGCGTATGCTGTGTTCGCTGAGGCAATCTTGATCGTGAAAAACGCCCTGCGATCACTTGGAGGGACGCGTAAACACTTCAAGAGTGCCGAGAAACGCTGTGAGCGTGCCTCTATCGAAGCTGCACTTAACTGCCACAAGCAGTGTTGGTCCGTATTCAACGACTGCAGGAGACACCAAGAAGTGGACAGTCGTATCCAGTGAAGATTAAGAAGACGTCAAAATGCTGGTCTCGGTAAGTTCTTTTTTGCAGAGTCATAAAATGCTTGCTTACGAGACCGCCAGTGCACTCAAGTTCGCAATTGAACGATGCTCGGGCAGGCGCAACTTCGGTTGCTACGCTACCCAGTGCGAGCACGACTATTGCTGCTGTTGCACAGTGCCTTTAGTGCACATAGACTTTGGTCGAATAAATTAAACAACAACAAAAATGAAAATTGAAGTGAAACCCACAGCTTCGAGTGTTTGCCGAAAGCTATAAATTAATAAAAAAAAGCTACGCGCGCGTTAATTGAGGCTGCATCGCAGAGCTGCTATGCATTTTGGTGAAGGCACGTGTGAATCTTCACGATAGAGTGCCCAGAGTAAGCATCATGTTGCGACTCACGACAGTTAGTGTGGGAAAGACTGCAGTGTGTACATCAAAACTGAAATCCGGAATTGTTAGTGGTTTGAGCTTGCATTCATTACACGTAAATTAATTGACAAATGTCCGATGAATGAAGAGAACAACCAGCTGCAGCTAAGTTGCGCGTAGTGTTAAAAAATGCACCCTCCTCGACATTCCTTTTTACGGAGAATGCATGTTCGCGTAAGGCAAAGGAATTATGATAGTGTGCCGAGTGCTCGTGACAGGTTTGATTGATTTTGCGGGGTTTAACGTCCCAAAACCGTCATATAATTATGAGAGACGCCGTAGTGGAGGGCTTCGGAAATTTCGTCCATCTGGTTTTTTTTTAACGTGCACCCAAATCTGAGCACATGGGCCTACGGCATTTTCGTCGCCATCGAAAATGCAGCCGCTGCAGCCGAGATTCGATCCCGCGACCTGGGCCTTTTCGGTTGTGGTCTTCGTATGTTGCCTTCGCAACCCGAAAGGGCCATGCAGTACATTGCAGGACTAACGCGAGCACCAGCGATAGCGCTGGAATGTGCGATCACGCACGTTTCTTAAAGGCCAGCGTATTTCGCCGACGATGAAACCATCTCCTAAGCAACTTGTTTTGCTATGGAGGAACGAAGGCTCATTTTCCTTGCTGGACACTGTATTGGCGCGAACTAATAGACAATGATGCTAAGAGAAGTATAGAAGTATAGGAGACGTTATTGGAAGTTATTGTAATGAAAATGTCAAGAAAGAAAAGTGGATGAAAAGATTAACTAAAAGAGGATGAAAATATCCTTCCAGTGGCAACTATCTCCTCATCCACTTTTCTTTCTTCACATTTTCTCTACTTCGTATAACGTCCCCTACACTTTTCTTGGCATCATTGTCAGTCAGTTCACGTCAATATTGTTTACGCTACAGTTACACGGGCGTCGCCAGTGGCGTGCAGAAGAGGCAGTGACCCACTCAAGCCAAACCTGCATTTGCTCACACTCCACTATTTCGCAGGAGCCTGGATTATCTACATCGGTCGCACTTGCTTTACGGGGCTTTGGCGGACAGAAAATTGGGAGACCGAGACTGTGTGGTTCCGGGGTGTAGGAAAAATCGTCTCCGGAATATATGGTATATATTCCTGGTATAGTATGTCAGAGGGCGAGAAAAGAATAAGACAACGGCACTAATAATAATAATAATAATAATAATAATAATAATAATAATAATAATAATAATAATTGGGATTTAATTGTCGTCACAAAACCACCATATTGTCGCGGAAAACGGAATAAAAAAGACGCCGTAGTGAAGGGCTCCGGTAATTTCGACCCCATGGAGTTTTTTAACTCTCTAAGTGATTATGTAAAGGAAAGGAAAAGAAAAGTGCCGCCTGTAACTGTCTATCACTGGGATGACACCTCAACAGGACGGCACATGCAGGGGTAAGGGGAGTGGGAATAAAAGTGGACAGGAAAAGAAAAGCGGAAGAAGTAGAGGAGGAAAAAAGTTTACATGGGCCTCATGCATTTTCACCTACATCGAAAATGCGGCCGGTATTCGATCACGCGACCTACGGGTCGCCAGTGAGCACGGCAATAATAGTGAAAAAATGTACGGGTCATCGTACTTTTGTTAGCGTTGCGTTCAAGTCCAACCACGTTACACGGCTCAAATTAATTCGGACCACACACACAACGCCTATCCAACGTGCCTTTCTTCGAGGTCTGCCTTGCTACACGTTCTCTCATACGGCGCCGGGCAAATATGGCAAGCACTCCGCATAACACTTCTAAAGGGCAAGAAAATATTCGATTTTGAATTGCGCGCACTTTTCGTAATTAAACACGTTACAATCATAACAAACCTCCTATTCCTTATAAGAGAGTGCAAGGCTGCTGCTTCCAATTCGCATCCACAAGGCCTCAGAAAACATTGAGCACGTCCGACGTAATGCATCTAAAGGAAAAAAAGTTCTGTATAGTATTTTTTTCCTTCGTTGACCCACACGAATCTACCAATTTCGACCGCGCATAACACGTAACATTCCTCCTCCAGATTTAAGTACGATGCGTAACGCCTAATTTAGCTTCCGTGGCGCAGATCCAGAAAAGGGGAAAAAAAGTCATTTGTTTTCGCGCACTTGAAGGCGCGAGGTCAGCTATGTGTAATGTGAAGCCGCCGCAAACTATTTATACCTTGAAAGACATCCAGCCGCAGTAGGCGTGCACCCTCAAGCAACGGTAAAAAAGTGAACTCGAATGAGAGAGGCTGCAAAGTAAACTTGCCATGAGCGGCAATCTCGCTCGGACTACATGAAATACCCGAAACAAACAAAGCAAAAAACACAGAATCTACCTTGTCCGTAGGCGAGGAAAAGGGTGGCGCACAAAATTGCAACTCGCAAAGCGCACTCTCGGGCGCTGAAAAACATCGCCATGCCACAGCGTAGTTTCTCGACGTCCCTCGACAGCCTTCACGTCTTGACAGCACTGACTAACGCGCGAAGTTTATGTGGCGGAAAGTTTATGTTGGCTTTTCCCGTTGTTTCGCCACGCGGGGCGATAAAAAAGAAAAAAAAAAGCCTGCCGCTCGTTTTCAACACTCCAAAGATAGAGGTGCCACGGGAAGCGCTGATTCGGCGGTGCATCTGCTGTCGTCACACGCTGTCAACAGCTCGTGCCTAACGCAAGACAAGGATCCACTTCGTTGCAAACGTTTACCCACTTTGTTACGAAAGTTTCGACTCTTTGTCGACTTCCTTGAAGAGTGACTCGTCGGGTCCGTATGCGCAAGTTGCCATTTTATGTGCGTCTGCAGCATAATATGGGTCACTGACGCTACCTTGCGTCGGGGTGCTCCGGTGAGCTTTGCGGCGTGGTGTGCAGCTTCGTACAGAGGGCAGCACATGGCCAGCTTAATTGAACCATATTTTGCCATTGGTTGTCCACATTCAAGCAATAGAGGATCGGCTAGTGACAGTTGTTATGGGCATGTAGCGCAAGAACTGAGAAAGTGCGAACATTACTTACTTCGAATATTCGATTCAAATGTAGTTCGTTATTCCCTTCGATTTTAAGGACATTTTGCACAATCAAACCATTCAAACGCACTTAAATTTCTACAGACCAGAGCGCTTTCAAAACGTTTTTCTGTAGCGCAGAAGTAACATTAGCGATATTTTATCAGCCTACATGACGAATAATTTGCGGCAACAAAAATGTAAAGACTTTTTGTTTTTCGGTATTTCCTCCACAACGGCCCGCAAACTTCTCTGACACGTGGCAATCGACAACCATTGGTGGTCCAATGCAGGTTCACATCACGCCGTGCTTGGTAACGTTAGGGCAACCAAAAGTTAATTAAAAGCGCTATACACAAGGAGCTTCAGTATCTGCGTGGCAAGTGATACGTACCATAATGGTTAGCAATTTATTTTTGTGGGTTATAACGGACCTGCTGGGCCCACGCGGATGCCAATTTTCAGGTATACATATACTTACTGGATGGCGAATGTAAAAAAAAAGTTCAGTTGATGGCGTGCGTGCTTCCGGGTTCATTCGCGTCTCCGTAGGCTTCACTCTATCTTTTTATAGTACTTATGTACTATATTGTGCACAAAAATAGAAATACTAAATATTTTGTTCTTCTCTACTACTGCGTATATAAGCAGCACCTCCTTGGCGCAGAACACGGTGCTGCAGGAGTTTCGTTAACTAAATTGCTATGCGAAATACCACCACAAAATTTTTATTCGCACTTAAGCTGCGCACACGGTTTATAGGTAACCTGCGTACGTACGTGCATAAAATAAGTATTGTTTTGTTTACTTTGTTCTCTCCATTATGTTATCTTCCACTAAGTTCTAACTTCATAGAACACTATAGATAAACTTTTAGGTTGTAATCAGATATGAAATGTGTATCATTCGTTAACCCATGTTGACGATACCGAATCCATAAGGAATGGAAAAAAACATGCTGTATTGAAGCCGCGCTTGTCGAACTGTACAAAATAAGTATTGGTCTGTTTACTTTGCTCTCTTCATTAGGTTATCTTCACCTAAGTTCTGATTTCATAGAGTACTAGCAAAGCCTTTAAATTGTAATCGCACATGAAGTGGGTGTAATTGGTTACCCCATGTGGACGGCACGGAATCCTTATCGAAGGGAACGCAGAAACATGCTGTACTAAAGCCGCGCTTATTTATTTTTATTTATTAGAATACCCTCAGGGCCCGTAGGGCATTACAGAGGGGGTGGGTACAACATTTTATAACACACAAAGGAATAAAGACAAGAAAAAAGACAAAGAAAAGAAACAAGTGTCAGATGCGCAAATCACGAAGACAACATAAATCAACTAAAAATGTATAAGTAAGAATTCAAGCACATACAAGACAAAGATAGATAATGGAAACTGCGTATAGTTACAAACATTGCTGAGAAATTGCAGTCTTGAATAACAAAGGGTCTGTTATTGTTACAACGGAAGAGGGAAGGTGGTTCCAATCGGCGGCTGTTTTCGGTAAGAAGGCTGCTGAAAAGAATTTGGTGCGGCAAAACGGAATGGCAACCTTATGCTGGTGATCAATGCGCGATGAGTGGTATGACGGTTGTGAAATGAGGTCTCGTTTCATTGATGGATTGTGAAAAAATATCTTATGAAAAAAACGCATCCGCACCAGTTTCCTCCGGACAGTTAAATTGGGCAGGTCAAGGTTAGATTTCATTGTTGAACCTAAATAAGTATTGGTCTGTTTACTTTGCTCTCTCCATTAGGTTATCTTCAACTAAGTACTGACTCCATAGAACACTATCAAGGCCTTTACATTGTAATCGCACAAGAACTGTGTTTAATTGGTTACCCCATGTGGACGGCACGGAATCCTTATCCAAGGGAACGCGGAAACATGCTGTACTATATAAAGCCGCGCTTGTTGAACTGTACTAAATAAGTATTGGTCTGTTTACTTTGCTTTCTTCATTACGTTATCTTCACCTAAGTTCTGACTTCACAGAACACTAGCAAAGCCTTTAAATTGTAATCGCACATGAACTGTGCGTAATTGGTTACCCCATGTGGACGGCACGGAATCCTTATCGAAGGGAACGCGGAAACAACCTGTACTATATAAAGCCGCGCTTTTTGAACTGTACTAAATAAGTATTGAAGCTCTGACTTCACAGAACACTAGCAAAGCCTTTAAATTGTAATCGCACAAGAACTGTGTTTAATTGGTTACCCCATGTGGACGGCACGGAATCCTTATCGAAGGGAACGCGGAAACATGCTGTACTATATAAAGCCGCGCTTGTTGAACTGTACTGAATAAGTATATTGGTCTGTTTACTTTGTTCTTTTCATTACGTTATTTTCACCTAAGTTCTGACTTCACAGAACACTAGCAAAGTCTTTAGATTGTAATCGCACATGAACTGTGCGTAATTGGTTACCCCATGTGGATGGCACGGAATCCTTATCGAAGGGAACGCGGAAACAACCTGTACTATATAAAGCCGCGCTTTTTGAACTGTACTAAATAAGTATTGAAGCTCTGACTTCACAGAACACTAGCAAAGCCTTTAAATTGTAATCGCACAAGAACTGTGTTTAATTGGTTACCCCATGTGGACGGCACGGAATCCTTATCGAAGGGAACGCGGAAACATGCTGTACTATATAAAGCCGCGCTTGTTGAACTGTACTGAATAAGTATATTGGTCTGTTTACTTTGCTCTCTTTATTACGTTATCTTCACCTAAGTTCTGACTTCACAGCCTCACTAGCAAAGCCTTTACATTGTAATCGCACATGAACTGTGTGTAATTGGTTACCCCATGTGGACGGCACGGAATCCTTAGCGAAGGGAACGCGGAAACATGCTGTACTATATAAAGCCGTGCTTGTTGAACTGTACTAAATAAGTGTTGAAGCTCTGACTTCACAGAACACTAGCAAAGCCTTTAAATTGTAATAGCACAAGAACTGTGTTTAATTGGTTACCCCATGTGGACGGCACGGAATCCTTATCGAAGGGAACGCGGAAACATGCTGTACTATATAAAGCCGCGCTTGTTGAACTGTACTGAATAAGTATATTGGTCTGTTTACTTTGTTCTTTTCATTACGTTTTTCACCTAAGTTCTGACTTCACAGCCTACTGGCAAAGCCTTTACATGTAATCGCACATGAACTGTGTGTAATTGGTTACCCATGTGGACGGCACGAATCCTAGCGAGGGAACGCGAAACATGCTGTACTATATAAAGCCGGCTGTTGAACTGTACTAAATAAGTGTTGAAGCTCTGACTTCACAGAACATAGCAAGCCTTTAAATTGTAATAGCACAGACTGGTTAATTGGTTACCATGTGGACGGCACGAACACCTAAAACCGCCAAGGGAACGCGGAAAACTAATGCTGGATTCTTATGGGCATGTATACTGCGAGAATCGAGGGAGTGCGAACATTCGTTATTTCGAATATTCGATTCGAATATAGTTCGTTATTCCCTTCGATTTGAAGGACCTTTCCCACAATCGAACTATTCAAACGCACTTAAATTTCTGTATACCAAAGCGCATTCAAAACGTTTTTCTATAGCGCAGAAGTAACATTAGCGATATTTTATCAGCCTACATGACGAATAATTTGCGGCAACAAAAATGTAAAGACTTTTTGTTTTTCGGTATTTGCTCCACAACGGCCCGCAAACTTCTCTGACACGTGGCAATCGACAACCGTTGGTGGTCCAATGCAGGTTCACATCACGCCGTGCTTGGTAACGTTAGGGCAACCAAAGTTAATTAAAAGCGCTATACACAAGGAGCTTCGGTATCTGCGTGGCAAGTGATACGTACCATAATGGTTAGCAATTTATTTTTGTGGGTTATAACGGACCTGCTGGGCCCACGCGGACGCCAATTTTCAGGTATACATATACTTAGTGGATGGTGAGTGTAAAAAAGTTTACTAAGGAGGCTATGGTTTACTTGATGGCGTGCGTGGTTGCGGGTTTCTTCGCGTCCCCGTAGGCTTCACTCTATCTTTTTAATAGTACTCATGTACTATATTATCCACAAAAATAGAAATACTAAATATTTTGTTCTTCTCCTCTACTGCGCATATTTGCAGCACCTCCTTGGGCGCAGAACACGGTGCTGCAGGAGTTTCGTTCACTAAACTGCGTTGCGAAATACCACCACGAAATTTTTATTCGCACTTACGCTGCGCAAACGGTTTATACGTAGCCTGCGTACGTATGTGTATAAAATAAGTATTGTTTTCTTTGCTTTGTTCTCTCCATTAGGTTATCTTCCACTAAGTTCTAACTTCATAGAACACTATAGATAAACTTTTAGGTTGTAATCAGATATGAAATGTGTATCATTCGTTAACCCATGTTGACGATACCGAATCCTTAAGGAATGGAAAAAAAAACGTTCTGTATTGAAGCCGCGCTTGTCGAACTGTACAAAATAAGTATTGGTCTGTTTACTTTGCTCTGTTCATTAGATTATCTTTACCTAAGTTCTGTCTTCATAGAGCAC